GGGAAAGAGAGGGAAGTCCACGACCGAACCTAGCTTGTCTTTCCCTCAAGAGGAATCCAAGATAGGGCAGTAACTTGTGAAGCATATTTCCTCATAGCTCCTTGTTTCTGCATCCTCTCTGGGGCCCTATACTCTGGCACTGAGTAAATGGCTCAAGGCAATGTTTAGTGAGAATGGTTCTCACCGAAGTGACCAGTTACGGCTAGGAGGAACCAATACAGGGGTGTTTCTTCACAGCCAAGGGAATTTCACGATCAATTCCAAGTCCCCCAGTTATGGGGGTTATGCTTAAACCGATAACGCTCAAACGCCACGTGCTGCATCCCGCGTGGATGAACAGTAACCCGCCACTCACCCGAACTGGGTTCCGCCAGTTCCTCTGCAGTAGCACCAGGGGCCCATGTACCACGTGCTGAGTCTCTGGAGCAGCCCCTAGACCTTGTAGAGACCCTGGGCCCCTGGCCTGAGGTTCGGCTTTCCAACCTCTCAATGATGCCTCCCTCCCCAGGTGCTGGGACTGTACAACACCCTGAACCCTGAAGCCTCGGCCTCCCCCTGCTGCGTACCCCAGGACTTGGAGCCCCTGACCATCCTGTACTATGTCGGGAGGACCGCCAAGGTGGAGCAGCTCTCTAACATGGTGGTGAAGTCCTGCAAGTGCAGCTGAGGCCCGCCTGCTACAGAGAGAGAGGAGGGATTGCCACTGCCTGCCTGCCTGCCTGCTCCTCGGGAAACACAAAAGAGATGGACCTCACCTTGAGGCCTGGCCCACAACCTTCAGCTCCAGGCAGATGGCTGAGATGGGGGTTCCCTTTTGGAACATTTCTCTTTCTTGCTGGTTCTGAGAATCACTGTAGTAAAGAAAGTGTGGGTTTGATTAGGGGAAGGTTGAACTCTACGGAACACATGGATTTTCTGTGTCATAGACAGAGGTGGTGGGGACAGAGGGAGAGGGATGGCAAGTCGACACGTCGCAGGGTCATGGGGTTTGGGATGCCCTAGGGAGGAGGAAGGGCAGAGAATGGCCGGGGGGCCAGACTGGAAGACACTTGGAGCTGAGGTCAGATTGCTCATCCACCACTGCCCCACGTCTGCTCGAGGGGACCTGGATTACGTCATACAAGGCAAGTGTTTTTCTTCAGGCAGGTTCCCAAGACAAAGTCCCAGAATTGTATCTCATACTTACCTGGGATTATGGACACATCTGTTAGTTTTGCAAATTGTCCCCTGGACGTCAGTCAGCATCAAGGGTCATTACGGGGTTGCGGGGGGCGGAATCCAGGTAATGCAGTTCCTGGGCCCTATGGATATGCTGAACTCAGCAGCAGAGGGTGGGAATTAACCCTCTCTGGTCTGCCCCCTGGGTTCCTCCTCTCGCCTTCTTCCTAGATCGTATTTCTCCTTGGACATTTGGCTAGACACCTTCCAGGTCAGGGTGCACATATCTGGATTTTGGGTCTCTGCAGCCTTTGGGCATTATGGGTTTCCCCTCCTGACCCCCCCGAGACCTTGTGCTCATCTGGTGTTCCTGGAAGCAGGTGCTACAACGTGTGAGGCGTGCGGGGAAGTTGCACAAGTGCCACACAACGACTTGGCCCCAGACGCATAGACTGAGGTATAAAGACAAATACAAATATTACTCTCAAAATCTTTGTATAAATAAATATTTTTGGGGAATCTTGGATCATTTCATTTTCTGGAAGATTGTTTCTAAACAATAAAAGCCTTATTCTAAGGTGTAAGTCTGACTCAGTGTGTCCTTAGTTACCCTCTTCTTAATTCCATGTTCACATCTAATGATCAGAGGTAACTGGAATCGGGGGCTGAAAATCTCAAACATCGAAACACTGCTGACCGTGAATTCCCCTGACAGTGACACACTGCACTGCCTTCTGCCATCTGAGAGGGCTGCACTACTGTTTGTGTTCCCTTCCGTCTTGGATACATTATCCTCAGACACACAGAGGCAGTGGCTCAGATGTGCAGAAAGCATATGAATTTGACCTCCATTTAGTTGTGGGCAAAGTCACTTGGGGTGATTTCACATATGGAAATGTGTTGGTTTGTACATTCACTATAAATTCAGTTGAGAATTAGAGGAACTGTCTGTGGCAAATGGCCTAAGAATATGAGGCTAATTCTGTTACCAGGTTGAGCCTAAAAGAGCTCACCAGGGACTCCTTTTCAGAGGATGGGCCTCTTGTCAGGGATTTGGGAATGGGGGAGGGCAAGAAAAGCGCAATCCCATAGTTCTCTTATGAGGTCATGGATGCCAGAGCAATGCAGAATTCTATTGTGGCTTCATGTCCACCTGAAGCAACCATCTGCAATAAGTGAGGAACCATCTAGCAGCTCCTGAAAAACACGTTCCTCTAGAAATTACTTTACCACTGGTAAAAAAGTCGTCTATCTGAAGCGAAAATTTTGAAGGTGGAAGGATGTGTACAATATGTTCGTGTCTGGAGTCGTCCCAAATTAAACTCCTGAATTTGGTCACTGAGACTCTTTTCCTGCTTCACCTATGCTCAGGCAATTCTAAGGGCTCCTCTCTCAGACTTCATCCTATGTGGCACCCATTTACTTCCACTCTATTTCAGGACCTATGTCCCTGCTGTAAAATCATATCTGGTGGCATTGTGCTCTATCTCACCCAAGGGAGCCAGTGGGTCTGAAGAGGGGATGCAGCATGCCTAGCTCTTCAGCCATGGCCATAGCCAGCCCAAACTTCAGTCTATTCATTGATGGCAGTCCTTCTCAAATTTCAATGGGCAGAAGAATCACTCAGGTGCTTATTTAAAATGTACAGATTCAGGCTGCAGCTTTAGAGATGTCTTTAGGACTGGAGTAGGTCCAGCCTACCTAAAAAACTGTATTTTGAGAAGCAGTGCCTTATACCTGACATCGTTGGTCCTTGAGGCTTAAATGAGGAAGAGGGAAATAATCTTACAGGGCCTAGAATAAACATTTTTTTTTCTTTTTGGCCGCACTGCGGCATGTGGGATCTTAGTTCCCTGACCAAGGATCAAACCCGAGCCCCCGGCAGTGGAAGTGCAGAGTCTGAACGACTGCACCGCCGGGTAAGTCCCAAATCCTCCTTTTTATCCAACCTCATCAGACATCATTAGAACGTTGGCCTGAGGGTTCATCCTAATGAATCAAGGCAATGAGCAGTGTTTCCTGAAGTATCCCAAAGCAAACAGACCCACTGTGATCCCAAATCTTCTTTTTATGTTAGACTCTATTCTTATCTTAGCCCAGCCTCCCCATTCGACACGTCACTTACAGGCACTATAGAAACTTAAACCATTTGTCTGTCCATCTGTAAAAATACGTGCCTGTTTTGGGGAAGGGTAAGGAGGGACACTACTGTTGGAGGGAGGATCATATGATTTGCTTGGTTTGTTACCAAGAGAAGTCCAATACCAATAATAATGACACTAAAGTACTTGGGTAAATGAAGGAAGAGATCTGGAGTCTGGTCTTAACGCCTGATCAGCACATGGTGAATGCAGTAAGAAATTCAGCCTGAGGATTCAACTCTGATGCTTACCTAGGGCAATTCCAAACACTCTAGTTGGTCTAAAGGTGCTTTTACTGGGCTCATACCCTCTTATGCTTTTTTACAAGAACCGTACGGTGAGTCTCCCCAGACACCTTATTTCCCAATTCTACACATCAGCAGGGGACTATGAAGGAATTCCAATTTGTCTACTAACCAATTCATAACCAAAGTAGCAAAACAGTTAAGATGGTCCTCAAACTACTAACCAGAAGCCACAGGGACACCTGGAATGCTCTCTTTTCTCCCACAACTGATAGACTTCATCCCTCACAAGCAAACAGAATGCTTCAGTGGGGCTCAGTGGGGTGTTTTCATTCACCAGGAAGGCAATAGAGCCCTTCTTCTCTTTGCCTTTTTGGGGGTCCTTTTTCTTTTAGGATTTCAATGCTGAATCTATAGGACTTTGTTGTGGAAACCCCAGATGCTGGATTCTCCCCCAATAACTCCTTGTGGCAGCTAAGTCAACCTTCAATGGGCTCTGCAGTCACCTTTCAACCTTTTCTCCAGTGGAGGCCAGAGAGAGGACCTAGGACAGATGAGGAAGCAAGAAAGCAGAGGTAAAGCAGAGGTAAAGCAGAAAGCAACCAGGGGGCTGAGCTGCACCGTTCTGATGAACTGTTTAGGTAAACACTGTGCAACTGGATACAGATTCACGTGCCACTGGAGGACCCGTCTGCTGGGGTCTGACAATGGAGACATTTGCATGCCCCAGCCTCCCAGGTGCTGCAGCTGCCCCTGGGGAAGAGCCTGGACCCACCATCTGCTGAAACCAAATATAAGAATAAAACATCTCTTTATAGCTCACATTTCTTACCTGAAGTTTAAAAAATTGCCCAGCGATGAAATAAAATGAGAAGTTGGGCCTATTTCAGTCTCGTTTGTGAATACTGGTTGTTTGGAAATTAGTAAATGGAAAAAAAAGAAAATAAAAATAGACTTACTTTATTAATTTTAGACATCAGTAATTCCAAAGGGTGCCTTTACCATGGCTCACGTGGTCAGCAGCACACGGACTTTTTTTCACTCTCCGGGAAACTTGTGATATAAACTCCCCCTTTCCCCCAAACCCTCCTGCAAGGGAAGAACAACTTTGGTACATAATGTTGTTGGGATTTTAGGCTTTTAGGAGGTAAAGCTTAACACTGCAATCTGGAAAAGAAGAGGAAGCAAAATGCAAATAGCCAAAGAGCCTCTTTTATATCATCTCTGTGTGGTAGCAGGAGAGGGACAGAGAAGACCTAAGCAGGTGGGAGAGGGGGTGAAAGGGGTAAAAGATACACGTGTGCTCTGATGGGGTATGTATCGCTTCCGCTGAATGTCCCCACTGCCAAGTTCCACTGAAACGGAGCTGACATGTTTTCCTGTCGTCTCAGGAAAAGTCTGGATTGGCTGATAGGCAACAATCTACTGCCACTTCTGCTGGTAGGCACTGGGGACTGAAACAGCAAAAAAAAAAAGAAAATACTCTGGACCCCTTGCAGCACTGGTGGATGCTTCACTGGAGTCACGCACCCAGGAGTAGTGGAGTAGTGGATAGGTTCCCCCTCCGCGTGTCTGTGCTTCATCTTTTAGTGTGAGCGGGATCTGAAAAAGAGGAAGTCAGCCAACCACTGAGTATCTGAAATGAGCACGTGGGGTTTTACTAATTTACAGGAATGTTTGGATTAGTTAGCATTACTGAGGGATAAAGTAGCTGTGGCCCAAATAAATGAAGATCACTTTGAAGTAAAAAACTATTAATTTTAACTACTTTTGTTGGAAACGGTTCTAAAACTCTCCCATTCTGCTGCTGCTTCTTTTTTGTGTCGTTTTCTTAGTTTCTCCCGGCCCCCCATAAGAACATTTTATCCCTTCTGCTTCTTAAATAAAAGATGCTAAATAAGTTAGCCTTTTCTAGAAACTCAGAGTCAGCATTATTAGCATTCAATATTGAACCACATGGAAAAATTGCTCTATGCACGCTCTAGAGTTTGTCTAAATCTTCCCTCCATGCTGGGTTATCAGATAACACTCTGCCTTGTACCCCCTGCCTCCACCCCCAAAATACACATTTACATTTCTCCATCCAGTTTAAGAAAAGGAACATTACTATTACCCTAAATCCCCTGTGAGACCCTCCCAATTCTTTCTCATTTCCACTATCTTGAATTTTGGGTTTATCTTCCCCTTGTTTGCTTTTAAAAAACAGGTCTATTTACTACATACACTGATATCCCTACACATTTTATTTTAGTTTTAAGTGGTTTTGAATTTTATAGTGCTATTTTATTATGTGACTATTCTTACATGTGATCTCAGTACACAACTGGAAGAATTTCTTTAGATAGACACTTAGGAGTGGAATTGTTGGGTCATAAATACTTGCATCTTCAACCCTCTAAAAATGATGCCAGCTTATTTTCCAAAGCAACTGTACCAATTCATACCCACTCTGCCAGTGGATGAGCTTCCCCCGCGACCTCAACCTCCTCTACATGTGGAGAAGCGGTATTGCCTGAATTTAAAATTTTTGCGAATCAAGTGAGGATATGATGGTATCCTCCTGTGGTTTTAATTAGCATCTGACTGATTAGGAATGAGGCTGGGCATCTTCTCAAGTATCTAGTATTACACACACATGTTATGTCTTCTGCAAAATGCCTGGATATGCCTTTTGCTTATTTTCCTATTGAGTTGTTGCTTCTTGATGTTTTTAAATAGCTCGGTTGAGATATAATTCCATACCATTCAATTTACCCATCCAGTGTGTAAAATTCAGTGACTTTTAGTATATTCAGAGTGCATCCCTCACCACCATCAAGTCTAGAACATATTCATCGAAAGGAAATGAAAATCCACATCTCAGCCATCACCCCCATACATCTCATCCCCCCAGACCTAGGCAACCATTAACCTACTTTCTGTCTCTGTAGATTTGCCTTTTCTGGACATTGCATATTAAGTGGAATCATATAATATGCGGTCCTTTGTGTCTGGCTTCTTTCACTTACCATAATGTTTTCAAGGGTCATCCTCATTGTAGCATGCATCAGTATGCTATTCCTTTTAATGGCTGAATAATACTCTGTTGTGTATATATACTATATTTATTTATTCACTCATAAGTTGATGGGTATTTGGGCTGTTTCTACATCTTGGATATTATTAATAATGCTGCTAAAAACATTCAAGTGCAAGTTTTTGTTTGGACATATGTCTTCATTTCTGTTGGGTTATATACATATTGCTGGGTTATAATGGTAACTCTATGTTTAATGGTTTGGGGACCTGCCAAACTGTTTCCCAAAGCAGTTGCACCATTTTGCATTTCCACAAGCAGAGTATGAAGCTTCCAATTTCTCCACATCCTCAACACTTGTTATTGTCTTTTTTTGAATACTGCCATCCTGGTGGGTATGAAGTGGTATTCTGCTATGCTTTTGATTTGCATTTCCCTAGTAGCTAATGCCATTGAGAATGTTTTCATATGCTAATTGGCACTGTATATCTTCTGTGCAGAAATGCCTTGTTCAGATCCATTGCCCATTTAAAAAATTGAGTTGTCTTTTTAATCATTGAGTTTGAAGACTTCTCTACATATTCTAGATACAAGTCCCTTGTTACATACATAATTTGCAAATATTTTCTCCCATTCTGTGGGCTGTCATTTCGACGGTGTCCTCTGAAGCACAAAATTTAAAAATTTTGATGATGTCCAGTTTGTCTATTTTTTCTTTTGTTGCTTATGCTTTTCATGTCATATCTAAGAAACTATTTATTGATTTTTAAAGTTCTTTGCTTAATACCTGGATACTAATTTTTTGAGGGTGTGTGGCAAACACCCTCACCAAGTTTGTGACTTGTTTCTTCAATCTCTTTAGGGTATCTTTTTTTTTTTAAAGAGGTTGTTTCATGATTTATTAATTTATAAGGAAAGTCCTGTTCAGAGATAAAAATTAGATTGCATTTAGATATACAATTAACAGGTGACCTTTTCAGAAAATGATTTTGTTTTAAATGTTAAAACTTCCAGAAAATCCAGGGCAGTCACCATAAAAATGGATGGTTTCTTTAAAAAACCTTTTAAAATAAAACATTTCAAACACACACAAACTAGAATAGTATGACACCTTCCTGTTCTCATCCTCTAGCTTCGATAATTATCAACGTCCTACCATTTTTGTTCCATCTCTCTCCCCATGTTTTTTCTCCTGGAATAACTCAAGGAAAACCCAAGATAACGCATCATTTCACCCGTAAATACTTTAGCATGTATTTCTAATAGAGAAGAAACTTAAGGATAAAAGGAAAACAAAACAAAAACCCCACAACATCTTTATGGTGTCTTAGAACAGAAGTTCCTAATTTGAACAAAGTCAAATTGATCAGTTTTCACCTTTCTAGTCTGCACTTTCTGGGTCTAATTTAAGAAATCTTTCCCTTACATTATGGTCATAATGTATTGTCCTGTAACGTCTTACAAAAATACTGACACATTTGCCTTTTGTATTTAAGTTTTTAATTCAAACTAAAATTGTGTAGGGTATGAAGAACAGATCTACTTTCATTTTTTTTCCCACACAAGCAAGTCTCCCTTGATAATAATCTTGATAATAATTTTTGGTATCTAGTAAGACAAGTCACACATGGCTCCCTATCTCTCATTCCCATTATTTAAGAGTATAAGGGTTAGGCTTTTTTTTTTTTTTTTTTTTTT